CCCGCCTCGGCCTCCCAAAGTGCTGGGATTACAGGCTTGAGCCACCGCGCCCGGCTAAAGATCTTTCTTTAATGAACCATGTAGGTGTTCCCTGCAAAAGGGCTCCCGAAATGTGTTGGAATTGGGAGGAGAGGGAGTCTAAGAGGTCTAGGCAGGAGTGAGAGAGCTTAGAGTCAGAGGTGTTTACAGGGAGGAGGGTGGCAGGGTTGAGAGCTTTACATTTCTGGAAGGTGATTAGAGGGTTTCCTACGAATAAGATGTATACCTGCTGTAAGTATACAGCATGTATAGGATGGTGGAAGGGATAGAAGAGATTGGTGACTCATGAGGTCCTGTAGGTTATGGGAAGATGCAATAGTAATGTATTGGTAGAGAGTGAGTTTCTGAGATCGCTCCATTGCATTCCATTCCAGCCTGGGTGACAGAGTAACTCCATCTCAAAAAAAAAAAAAGTGTGTTGGATGGACAGGTTAAGGGAGGGACTACAGAAAAGGAGGTCATTGATGTATTGGAGGAAGGTGCCAGGAGCATTGGAAGTTCAGCTAGGTCCTTGGTGAGGGCCTGTCCAAATAGATGGGGGCAATCCTGGAACCCCTGTGGGAGTATGGTCCATGTTAACTGGGTAGACGCGTGAGTAGTAGGATCTGACAAAGTGAAAGCAAAAATACTTTGGGAAGCTGAATTTAAGGGAATAGTGAAAAAGGCATCCTTTAAATCCAATACAGAGAAGTGTGTGGTAGAAGGGGGAATACAGGAGAGCAGGGTGCGTGGGTTGGGGACCACTGGATGGATTGGTGGATGGGGACCACTGGATGGATTGGTATTGCCACCTGGTTAACAACTTAGAGATCCTGGACCAAGTGGTAGTCTTAAGAATTTCAGCTTGTAAAGGTTTACAGATAATAGGTTTGAGGCCCCTGAGGCTGGCTGGGTTAGGGAATATTGAGACTGATCATGCAAAATGGAGTGGTTTTGGCGGGTTATTTTATCTGGGATGTGATGTGTGGCTATTTTGGGTTTAAAAGTGTTCCAGACTTCAGGATTAACAAGAGGTAACAGGGTGAATAATGAGGATGAGGGGGAGAAGAGGGAAGCATCTGGTGGCAGAGTCAAATAAAAGGGGTAGAATTGCAAGAGGCAAATTTTGTGGAGGCCTGGAATTTACTTAGTATGTCCTGCCCCAAGATAGGGGTAGGGCACTGAGGAATAACCAGTGGGTGAAGCGGGTATTGAATAGGTTGCATAATAGAGGACCAGTCTGTGCCTAGAGGGGATTCCATCAACTCCCACAATAGAGATAGAAGAACTGAGGAGGGGTCCAGAAAATTCTAATAAAACTGAGTAACTAGCCCCTGTATCCAATAGGAAAGACATGGGCTTACCAGAGATTGACAGTGTTACCCTGGGTTCTGAGGTGGTGATGGCAGTTGGGGTGGCAGGCCCCTGGCCCCATCAGTCTTCAGTTAGAGGTGGTGAAGCAGGTTGAAGAATTTCGCTGAGCACAGTCCAATATCCAGTGTTTCTTGATGCCACAGTTGGGCAAGGTTTTGAGAGTAGGCTTTTGCCCAGTGACTGCTGGCTGCAGGTCAAACAGGCTTCTGATGGAGTTTGTTGCAAGGTTGAGGATTTCTGTGCGTGTTGGGAACCCTGTTGAATGGCAGCTGCCAGCATCTGGCATTTAGTCTGGTCTCTTTTTAGCTTTTGGACTTTTAGTTTTTCCTCTCTATTGTTAAAGACCTTAAAGGCCACTTTGATTAAATCTCTTTGTGAAGTTTGAGGGCTATTCTCCAGTTTTTAAAGTTTCTTTAGAATGTCTGACATTTCTTTAGAATGTCTGACTAGAAAATGAAGTGTAAATGGAGGTAGATTCTGCCCTTATTGGCATTAGGGTTTAAGGTGGAATATTTAGTTATGACCTCTGAAAGGCAGGAGGGGAAAAGAGCAGAAATAGCTTTATTTATGCCAGCTAGGAGGCATGATAACATATGGTCTTATTTCTATCTGTCTGCAGAAGTTGCCTGATAATCCCAATTGGGGTCAGTTCTGGGGACAGGTAGGGTCCCTATTGGGTAATGGGCAGCATCTTGTTGGTAGGGGGTGTCTTCATGGGCCTGGGCAGCCATCCAGGTGCATTCTTTGTCCTCTGGGGTGAGGGTGGAGGAGAGAATGACATATATGACATGCCAGGTAAGGTCATAAGATTGAGTGACATAGAAAAATTCCTTGAGGAAAGAGGTAGGATCTGTGCAAAAGGAGCCGAGTCTTTTTATAAGCTGGGAGAGGTTAACTAGGGAAAAGGGAACATGAACTCAGATTATGCCTTTGGTCCCTGTGACCCCATGCAAAGGGAGAACTTTGGAGAGTCTTTGGCTGTGTGCCTGGTTTTTGGCAGAAGGGCTTTGGGCATGTGCCTAGTTTGTTGGTCAGGTTGAAATTAGAGGAGGAAGGCTTGTCTGGAGGAGGAGGCATTTTTGTAGTTTTTTGTTGAGGAGGAGGATTTGAAAAGGTGAGTGGAATTGGCAGAGAAAGAGTGAGCCAGGAACGCAGATAAGCAAAGCACCTCAGATTATTTACCATTGGGAGGAAGACTTGTAGATTATGTCACATTTGGAAATTGAATGTTTTGATTTTTGGCTGTTGACTATTATTGTCTGGTTTACACTGGGGCTAGGCAACATTACAGAGGAAAGTACAGAGGAAAGCAAAGCATTCAGTTTAATGGAGTCTGCCAAGCCCTGGGCTTGGAGGTCCTGGATGAAACATCTGAGTGGTGTCTTGAGGAGGTTTTGAGGAGGCTTGTTTCATAGTGGTGGCCAGAAATGTGAGAAACTTAGAGAAGGGAAGTACCCCAGAGGGAAGTGAATACCCCAGAGAGGAGTGAGTACCCTGATTCCTCCTGGGAGAGGGGACATGGGAGAGCCAGGACGTCTCTACAGCTCTTTGCGGTACCCTGGAGGCTGGAGTGGCCAGAGCAGTAAGTGTTCTGAGGGTGTCCCCTGAGAAGCCAGGCCATGGTTACCTGGTAACTGGAGAGACCTCTCACCCAGTGCTGGAATTTTCTGGTAAACCAGCTGAAATATAAGAGGAATGTGGAAAGGAAAAAAGGCTCACCCATTAATTGGAGATGGATGTTGGATGTGATGTCCAGCAATGGGATTGATACTTCCTGGAGCCGCCTGGAAAGGGGAAGGAAGGAAAAAGAGGATGGAGAGTTTGATTGGGATCTGGAAGCCAGACAAGGGCCTGAGAAGGTGAATAAGGGAACAGGGCTGGGAATAGGGAGTCCACTCAGGATCTGGAAGCAGTCTGGTTTTTGCTGCTTGCTGCTTTCCAGGTTGCAGGAAAAGACCCATTTAGAACCCAATCCCCATCCTGGGTTTTGGCACCAAAATGTTAGGTTTTGAAGGGAGGGCAAGGGTTAAAGACTCTCTCTCTCTCTCTCTCACTCTCTCTCTCTCTCTCTCTCTCTCTCACACACACACACACACACACACACACAGAGAGAGAGAGAGAGCGCGAGAGCACTCGAGTGTGCGGCTCAACAGCAATGCAGGTATATTGCAAAAACCTGTGGAGATGGGGGACTGGCTTAATTCCAGAGCCCACTGCTGCTTACAGGCTGGGATAATTTATCGATGTGATGGTTAATACTGAGTGTTGACTTGATTGGATTGAAGGATACAAAGTATTGATCCTAGTTGTGTCTATGAGGGTGTTGCCAAAGGAGATTAACATTTGAGTCAGTAGTCTGGGAAAGGCAGGCCCACCCTTAATCTGGTGGGCAGCATCTAATCAGCTGCCAGTGAATATAAAGCAGGCAGAAAAACATGAAGATGAGAATCGGCCTAGCCTCCCAGTCTACATCTTTCTCCTGTGCTGGATGCTTCCTGCCCACAGACATCAGACTCTAAGTTCTTCAGTTTTGAGAATCGGACTGGCTCTCCTTGCTCCTCAAGCTTGCAGACAGTCTGTTATGGGATCTTGTGATTGTGGAAGTTAATATGCACTCCCCTTTATATATATCCTATTAGTTCTGTTCTCTAGAGAACTCTGACTAGTACAGATTT